TCAGTACATACTTGGCAAAGGGCCTTGTTCATAACAGTCACTCAACAAAGTTTTGCTGAATGAGTCCATAGTTGTATACTGGTTGTTAAAGATATGCCTTTTCCGCCCTGTCCGTAGACCTGCACTAAACTCTGTGTGGGCAACACCTGGGAACCAGGTGACGTGCCTTTTGAGCACCCACTGTTCTGGCACAGCTGGGCCCAGCCTGAGCACGTGGCATAGGGAATGCAGGTAGATGGGTTGGGGTTATTAGGGTTCCTGTCACTGAGAGATGCCAAAACCTGACTCAGTCTCTGAGGGCAATTGAGAGCTGTCCAGGACCCATCCTGAGGCCCTGAGGCCTTCCTAGGTGACAGTCCCTGGTTCCTAACATGGAACCTCCCCAGGATCAGGATCCCTTGGCCGAGCTGGACACCTGGCCTAGGTGAGCTGACTTGGGAAGTCTCTCTGGGGCTCAGTCACTGGGAAGGCACGCTCTTTTGTTGGGATAATGCGGAAACAGGAGAGGCCTGGAGAGAAGGTTTAGGAGGAGCTGGGCTACCAATCCAGCCCTTTGAGAAGCACAGGGTATTTCTGTTGTGTGGAGCACAGCCTGCTGATTTGGCAGGATGACCTCTGGTAACTACCGAGACCTGGACGTGGATTCTAGGCTGTTATCATGCTCTGTGGCCCCTGCAGGGGCTGAGACCCATTGCCATAACAGCAGACACATCTGGGGAAGCTGAGCACTTCGTCCAGGTTAGCAGCCAGAGCAACTCTTCCCAGAAGGCACTGGCTGGGGAAGCTCTTCTCAGCCATCTAGAGGCAAAGTGAGGCCCCAAGAGCAGTCCCAGGGAAAACTCAGTGTAGGAAGGACTTTAGCTCGCACAATTTTGCCTTTATACAGGAGTTAGCCTAGATACAGGCTATTCTTTAAATTTTCCCTTCTGTGTGAGGGATGCACCATATAACATAGCATTCAGCTTTTTCCCAGTAGGAAAAAAAATACACCAAGGGGCTCCAGACCAGTAAGTGAGAGCCTTGAAACTTACAGCCAAGGGATGGAGGAAATGGATCTAACACAGGAACACTAACATAGAGGGAAAGACTGACAACTCTGAGTTCTACATAATCAGAGAAGTACAGCTTGGAACCATGAGTTGACTTTTACTTACCAGGTTGGGAAAATATTAGAAAGGTTGACCACATCCACAGTTGAAGGACTGAGCACAGACCCCCTCACTACTGGTAGGTATGTAGCCACAATCTTAGTGGAAAGTAGACTGATGGTATCTATCAGTAATGTAAGTGCTGTATACTTATTTGCACATATATTCAAAGACCAGAGTCTAGAAGGACATGTCCCAAACTGTTGATAGTGGTTGCCTAGGGAACTAGGAGGGGCTGTACAATGCATGGCTGAATTTAAAAATACAGATATATTCATGCATTGTGTCATTAAAATAACTGAAGAAAAAATAAAGAAAATAAAATTTTTATTTTTATTTTAAACTCACCGTATGCCAGGGACTGTCTTAAATGCTTTATAATCTGTTAACTCATTAAATTCTTGTAACAATGCTTTAAAGTAGGTATAGTTATTATGCTCAGTTTACAGTTGAAGAAACTGAGGCACAGAGAGGTTAAATAACTTGTCCAAGGTCACACAGCTGGTAAGTGGCAGAGTCAAGACTCCATCCCAGGTAGTGTGGCTCCAGACTCTGTTCTATTTGGCCCTGCTGCCTCCTTGGGTTTGCCAGCCTTGTGAGAACAGAGCAGGACAAGGAGAAACCCTCCTACTCCCCCTTTCCTTTATTCCTTAGGCTTTTTTGAATCCTCACCCAAGGACATGCTTAGAGAGAGGAAGAGAGAGAGAGAAAAAACATTGATTGGCTGCCTTCCACATGTTCCCCAACTGGAGATCAAACCCTCAAACCTAGGCATGTGCCCTGACCGGGAATTGAACCAGCAGCCTTTCGGTGCACAGGATAACACTCAATTGACTGAGCTACTCTGGCCAGGCTCTTTAGACTTTTTAAAATATGGATCAAGTGAGGGAGTCCATAGTCACATTTGGAGGAGGTTATATATATGGAGAGAAGGGGGAAAATATGAATGAGGGCACTGTCCAGATGCTTGGATGCTTCTGGAAAAGCCAGCTGTGGCAGGGGCTGAGGCATACCACAGTGGTTCAGCAACTCCTGCATTTTATTTCCTGAGTCAACAATCTGAGCTGAGTATGTTTACAGACTCCCCAAAGATGAGCATGGCATCAACATCTCTTTAACCAGACCCTCAGGCAACAGCCACCACCTAAGTGGAGCCAGAGTTAAGCTTTGGCTTGACACTGAACAGAGCAGGGAAGAAATGAGTGCATCAGGGTGTTGTTTCCAGTTGTCTTGTGAAAGATAATGAGTTGTTTAGAGGGAGCAAGGCCCCAGTGGCCTCTTTGTAAATCTCAGTCCTGAGAAAGTAAAGGCAGAGCTGCAAGTCCAAACAGGCAACATGGTAATATGTCCGTGGAGATATCAGCTAGACAGTGCAGACACCCACAGCTGGAATGAGAACCACAAACTTTGGAGCAAACAAACATTCAACTACCCAACTTTTTTTGAAGGCCTATGTGTTTGGAACTCTGCTGGGCACTGGGAATACCAATATGAGCAAGAATGGTACCACTTGTGCTAACAATACATGCTTGCATACGCATAGATTATCTCTGGAGGGGAACAGCAGAATGTGGTAACAGATTACCCGTGGGTGGTTAGGGAACAGCGGTGGGAAGGAGACTAAGTTGTCATTGCAAACCCTTTATGCCTTGTGAATTTGGTATCAGAGGCACATGTTACGCACACACAAAATAAATGAGGTCAGCCTGGCTGGTGTGGCTCAGTGGCTGAGCATCGACCTATGAACCAGGAGGTCACAGTTCAATTCCAAGTCAGGGCACATGCCCGGGTTGCAGCCTCAGTCCCCAGTAGGAGGCGTGCAGGAGGCAGCCGATCAATGATTCTCTCATCATTGATGTTTCTATCTCTCTCTCCCTCTCCATTCCTCTCTCTGAAATCAATAAAAAAAATATATAAAATAGATGAGGTTAGAGGGAGAGACAACTATGTAGATGTGTAAATGGAGACATAAATAGCAAGACCAGGCCTCACAAGGATGTGTGTAAAGTGCTAGGTTGGTTGAGAACAATGGAGGAACCAGAATACGAAGACTGAATTTACCCATTTGTCTTCCTGGCGTGGGACAGAGTTAAGCTAAAGCCATGACAGTGATTTCTCAGAGACCCTTTTACTGTGTCCTAGCTAGAAAAAAAAAAAAAA